ATTTATTATTATTATTATTATTATTATTAAAAGCACACGTATATATATATATATATATATATTCATATTCATATATATATATATATATATATATGTGTATGCGTTACAATTTTTGCAAATAAAATGATAAGGGGTACTTAAATATTGCTTGTAACATTCTTCTTTAATATTTAATGAAATTTTATTGATATGGTTCTTCGTGCTTGTAATTTCAACGACATATGTTATGTCAGAGAATATTTTGCTTATGATTACCTTCGCATAATAATATTATTATTATCATATTGTTGCAGACTCTTTTAAAAAATATTAGTCTAGTTCTATATAATTTTTTTTTTCTACTATTATTGCTTTTTTCCGGACGATTTTTTTACTAATATTACTGATATACAGATCCCAGAGATGTTAAATCGGGCTTGACACTTAGGAGGGGCTTAAATGATGAAAGGTGGAATATAATGACTGTTCTACAATAATGCAAGCCTAAGTGATTATTTTTCCTCTACTAATTATTTTGTTCTATATTTTCTTCCTTTAAGAATAAACTCACCTTAGAACTAGAGCTTTTTAGTCTGAGAAAAAAAAATAAGCGGTACTTTTGAGAGTTAAAAATGTCATCTGGGCCGAAAATTGTATTTCTAGATTGTGATGGAGTAATATCACCTTTCAGCGGACCGATGTTTAGTAAGGTTCATATGCAGCGGCTCAAAAAGATAGTGGACACCGCACAGGCCAAAATAGTACTGAGTTCATCGTGGCGGACCTCAGAATTTGGACGTAAAGAAGTAAAGAAGCAACTCATAGCCAACGGTATTAGTTCATTCATTGATTGCACACCAAGCATTAGCAACCGCCCCAGGGTAGTTGAAATATTAACGTGGTTGGAAAATCACGAAAACCTTAACGTAAAGAATTTTCTGGCTTTAGATGATATAAACCTTACCGCGTTGGCACCTAATAAGACTTTTTTCGCGAAACACTCCATCACCACTAATGGCTTGACGGGGCTCACCGATCAGGATGTCGCAAAGGCAATTGAGATCTTATCCGACCGAAACAACATTAATAAGAAGTCTATCAATAATACTTGAGTGGATCTTCAAGAAAAAGAAAAGGAGGAAAGGGATTTATTTTTCTTTTGGTATTATTTAAACTTATGGTTGTATCCAAACTACATAAACATACTTGCTTTGGTGAGTTTCCTTTTAGCATAAGACACGCCAAAAACAATTTATGAAAAATAACGATTTTATGGGAGATAGGTTAATGATATTGTTATATGATGTGATGCAAATATGCACCTGTACACATAGAAGATTATTGCGATAATTAATATGGAGAAATGTACCTGAAAAGGCACTTCTAGACCTTTCGAGTTTCATTTTATCCAGCGAATTTTTAAAACTAAATATTTTGTTTAGTTTAATATATCTCTTTGTAATGATCTGAGGGACCGAATATAAATTAATTCGTACTTCTCAGGTGTTAACTAAAGAGAAAATTAAGGAAGATGGAACACCACAGTCTTGGTTTCTGCAGTATGTTTATATTTTAGGATCTAATCAAGATACTAGGAACAATTAGCTAGGTATTATAGTGAATTTGGGGGTAAGGTAATTCTGAAATACCTCTCTATTTTTCTTCCACATGCTCGTTTATTCTTATATTTATATATAAATATAATTATACAAAGACCACTATTTGACTGAATAACTGAGGTTTTTGTTGAGAGATTGCCACGCTTCTTTATTAATGATGTATTTTTGTATATTGTATAGATCTACCCCTCACATTATTCGATTACTTACGTATATTGTTTTTGTGATCATTTTTTTTCTTGTATGTAACCTTGTCTCCTTATAAACAGCCTCAAATTTAGTGATTAGTGATAATTTGCAATGATATCTTCCTCAGATAATCATTTATGTCCAGCATATGTTATCCTTGCATAAATCATTATTTCTTTTCTTTGTTCCTTTTTTTTTGTCATTAAAAATTGGTGTCTTTTAAAGAAAATGCAGCGGGGTAAATAATAAATGATCTAGGCTAGAATTTAGAGGATTTGTAGGTTAACTGGTGGTAGCTCTCCTTAAGGATCTCACATTTCAACAACTGATGTGAAGTTATTGAGTGACAAATATTTGGAAGAAGAAGAATCGAAATTTTCTGCTTTCTTTCTGTTTATAAGAATATTTTCATCTGAGTGTCTGCACATTTAGCACTTGTGGACCGAAGTTCTGCTCTTGTTGCTTTAGTAAGATTTTATCCTAAGCGATCTCTTGGTATATCATTTAATCAGGTCTTCCCCAGAGGATGAGGTAACATGTATTATCTACTTTAAAGGAGTCTCAATAAGCTTTTTTCGTTCCTTCATTTCGTCTTTTGTTAGATATAGTTCGTTGGATATCACATATTGACCTTATGGATTTTAATCCCTCTAAAAATTTTATTGGTTCCAATTCCTTACTAAAATGTGGAGATTTTATCAAATAAAGGAAATATTGAAATGCTGCCTAATTTTATCATTTTGTGCACTATGGTGAGTTTATAACCTTTAAATTCCATAATGTGGGTATCTCTCCTTTGCCGCGCGTGCATTTCTCTATATGTTGGATATTCATTTTCCAACTTTACTAGAGACTAGAAACTAACATTTTTGGGAGTGTAAGAAAAAAAATGGTATCTTGCACTTTCCTTTATAAATAAAAACAACAACAACAACTGGAAAACCAACACAAAAATATATATACATATTGTATTATTATTATTTTTGCCCGAATCAATGTAAGAACACTAAAAGCTTCTGAGGGCTTTACTAGATTATCATTAGCTCTAGCTCCACTCCGTAAGAGCGTGGCCTTTTTTTATTGGCTTAAAATAGAGGAGATATACAGTATCCCAATGGAAGTACTCCGGCTATTTACCGGGTAAATGAAGAGCTGTAATTCTTGTTCAAATAACTTTCACAAAATATATGGTCATCAAGGTTATTCACCTTTTTTCTTTATCTTTAGTCATCAACCATTGGAATTAATGCTTTAGCCCAAGGCACAATTATCCATATATACTCTGTGTGGTTACCTTTTCTTCCTCGGAGGGGTTTATTTCCCCTTAGTTGATTACAGATGGAAAGGCCGGAAATCGATCTTCCACGACGGAAGGAAAAACCCATAGACGAGAACATTGTTTATTATGAAGACTGCATCCTTGGAAAGGGTCAATTTGGCACCGTCTACAAAGGTTACTGCAAATCTAGAAATCTTGAAGTTGCGGTAAAAATCTTTCACGATGTCACGTCCTTCTACGCATCCCATACTTCCAATCTTCATCTCAATGGGAACGGAGATGAGACAGCCGCTAGAGCAGGAAGGGTGTCGCCGCCGCAAGAAATCAAAGCTCTCGCTCAACTCAAAGCGCGCAACTGCCCCAACATTCTCTGCATGCATGGCTCCTGGATTAAGAAAACCAAGCCAGAAAACCCTAACAGGGTTTATGTCATCGTCACCGAGTACTGTCCAGGTGGTGATTTGCATCATTGGATGCAGACCAAAGGTAAAGTGAGCGAGAATGTTGCCCGAAGACTTATCTACCAGCTATGTAATGCCTTGCTGGTTTTCAAATCCGAGTGTATTATTCATCGCGACATCAAGCCAACGAACTTGCTTCTTACCAGCAAGAACCTTGAGGAGGCGATGCTCAAGGTCGCAGACTTCGGGATGGCGAAGGGTGCGGCCGCAAACCCCATATGCGACACAAACGCCGACCGCGATGACCCGAAGGTTTCTAGTGTCCTCTTTCACTCCGCCCTTGGCACTCCCATGTACATGTCACCCGAGCGAATTCGACAAAAGCCATACAGCTACAAGGCGGATGTTTATTCCGCCGGAATGGTGCTTTACGAGCTCTTGGCCAGTCGTCCAGTGCGCGCTACGCGCCCTGCACAACTTCTCACGGCAGTTCCCGATGCCATCCAACACGAGGTATCGCGCCACCAACCGGATATTCCGCTTTGGTTGGATCTGCTGCTGGGGATGGCCGTGGAGGACCCCCAGAGGCGGCTTTCAGTCGAGGCGGTGCTGCAGCACCCGTGGTTTGCTCCCGAGAATGGCCCCTCTTTACCGCCCCCAATTATCCCGTTGCTCCCTTATGAAGCGCAGACGTGCCGGAAGGTGGAGCGGGAGGGGGGTGGGATCGATCCCTCGCCGTTGGATTCCATATCGTTTCAGGGTCCCTCGGCCCCACCCGATGAGGTGCAGAATTCTCCGCTGCTTTCGGAGAGCTGCCACTACGAAGGCAGCATCGCAGGCTCTCTCTTCTCGGAGCCAGAGGATTCAAGACGGGATACAACTTGGTGGACGACACTGTCAGTGTCAGGACAAATACCTTCGTCTCGTGATGTGAGTCTTACACTGCCGACGACTTGCGGACCTTACATTGTGACGTTTGCTGTGCGAAACTTCGTCTGGTGTGTTCTATTATATGTTGTCGAAGCAGAGGCGGAAACGGCTGGTGTCCTAATCGTCCTATCGTTTCTCATGGAGCTTATTCAAAACGGTTACTCGGCTTTTATTCAGGATGTGGAACAAATGGGCGGTCTGTGTTTTCCCCAGCACTTTGTCTTTCTCAATGACGTCTGGCACGAGCTTCTTAATCATCTGAACGCGTTAGTAGCACACCACCGGCGGCGGCTTCCACCTCGTCTATGGCAAAGGCTCTATCCGAGGGCAGAGGCCATCATTCTGCGTAAAGCCCTTTCGTATATCCAAGAGGATTCCCTTTCCGATGTAGCTAGTGGTGATGACCGCATGCCTCACGAAGGGGATTCCGCAGCATTCCTTTCCGTGGAAGAGGGGTGGGCCGAAGAAAAAACATTGGCAGTAGCAACCCATGTGGATCCTGAGGCTCAGGGGTCATTAAGTGGGTATGATAAAGCCTTGGCTCTTCTTCGAGTATTGGTCCAGCAGGCTATTCTCATGGATGATGACGCTACAGGTCGAATATTTTCCGCTTACCCCTTCACATGTGGTGGTCATCCTAATACCGATGCTTATCAACAGGAAGAACAAAGGAATAAGTGTATAGAAACCCTTAGCACCAGGTCCCCACTAAAGTATCTTATCCATGTTCCTGTTCTTGCGACATTTGAAGACGAAGAGGATCTTTTGATGGTACATACTATTTTGCAAAAGCTTTCATCCTATATGATACGCATCGGAACGAGACGATGTATCGTTGATCGAAGCATTAATGAGTAACCTGAGATGCATGGAATAAACAATTTTATCTGATTTCTTGAATGTGTGGCTGTGTTTGTACTACAAAGCGTCTGATTCCCTGATTTAGTTTTCCTTTCCTCTAATTTGTCAAAGATGAGCCCAGTGCGGTGTTTACTTACATCATACTTTAAAATTATGTGCATTCTGCTTCCATATACCATTTCACTATTGGGTGAAGTGTTTGAAGATGGTGACAATCAATTCAAACACTGATGATGGTGATTTCCAAATTCATAGTTCACAAAATCCAGTAACACAACGTAAGTGGGAGGTCTCTGTACGACGCGGAGGCAAAGCTTTTTTCCCAAAAGAGTAATGAATTTTTAGTCTTGTGCGTATCCTTTTCTATTTTGACTTGAACAAAAAGTACCTAAAGGAACACCAAAAAAAATTAAGACCAAATTAGTGCACGCCATATATTTCGAATAAAGCTTATGCAAATGAACATTCTAGTGTTCATGGAAGCGTTCCACACTATGCCGCTTGTCGAATCCCTGCCGCTGGAGCAACAGCGATGTATTAATAGTGTACCTTTGAATTTTTGAATCAGCACCGCACCAACAAGAAGCGTTGTAGTGCACATACAATCACATATAAGGACCCACGCCACTGTGGAGATGACACTGTTCAAATACGAAAGATTACACATCCATCCCTTAATATTTTGGTGGTGTTCGTATGTATCAAAGAGGTGCAGGCATCACCTCCTTATTTTTGTGAAGAAGCGCCGATGAGAAAGGCTGAAATTTTACTTCCATAGGAGATTCACAGAGAATAGAAATCACACGCATAATCTATCAAAGCCCAAATGTGCATGTGAACGCTGATAACCGGTCCCAGTTTCTGATATGATTTTTAGGAAACTACTTTATACACAGATGCCACACCAAGTGCGTTTTTATGACTTACTAGTCTTTTACATTACATGGGATCCTGGTATGACGCTTAGCATCTCTTAGTGATGAAACATTAGTTCGGCTTCTATAATGTAACACCATACACCACTCGCGTTTTTTGTCTTGTAATTCGTAGTTTATGAATTTCAAATGAATACCTTGATGTGGAATCCAGATTTATTAATCATAAAAACAAAATCCACAACATGTCACAAAATAAGGGGGAAAATGGGGGAAAGAAATCCAAGAACCCCTTCCAAGTGCAGCATACTTGGGGATTGATTCTACTTTCATCGGTGTAAGTTTACCCTGTGTATTCATTTTACTGATGGTCAAGCATTTATTTGATAATCATACCATCATGAGGCCAACACATATTTTCAACTTTATTTCAAACTCCTCTTTGTTTCTTTTTTGATGTCTAAGTATATACCCTCCCCCACCATCCCCCTTTCCAGTTTCTTGTTTTGCTGCGAAGGGGGCGCTATACCTTAAGATTTAGAAAGTGCCTTCAGCTAGGTTGTGGGTGGTTCATTGGGTTTTACGTGGATGCGACGTGGCGATGCCGGTGCGCCGCGGTGCCCCGCGGACGTCGCACTGGGTCAGATGCTGGCGGGCATCCAACAGGAGCTGCTTCGGCGGTATGGCCAGCCTCGGGAGTGGTCGATCCTTCGCCGGTTAGCACCTGGAGAGGAAGGGCGTAGGGAGAAGTCCCAGAAAAGGGGCCGCGAGGGCGATGCCCTCGTTCACCTCACTCCAGATGACTGGGCCTGCGCATTGCATCCGATGGCCGAGCTGGGACCCTACCTGGCCTCCACCTCGGCGCCATCCTCGGAGAGGCGGGATGGGGGCGAGCTGCGGAGCCTGGCGGGAACCAGCCCCCAATCAGCCCCCGAGGGCTTGGCGGTTGAGCGGACCAGCATCGATCGAGGGGATGGCGATGCCCCGCCGGAAACGCCCGGTGCAACCGCCAACGACAGATTGACATCTTCGCCGCTCGACTCAGCTGTCGTCGTCAACTACGTGAAGTGCCGCTGCGCTGAGTTGCCGATGCGGTTGAGGCTGGAGGCCCTACAAATGCGTCGTCATGAACATCTACTTCGCCAGCATATGCAGGAACTGATTCGTCTCTCTGAGTTCCTGGCGTTATGTGGTGCGGTGCCCTCGGGCACCACGTGGGAAACCCCCACGGGCGGCCTAGCGGACTCGAGCCACGCTGGAACAGCCAAAGCGTCTTTTGGTCAATTCGAAAAGTCCTCACCACCGCCCGGACACATGGACCTGGCGAAAAGGGACGGTGTTGAGGGGCTCCAGCTGCTATCACGATGCTTTCAGCGAGTAGCAGAATTGGAGCGACTCGTGGAGTCGGACAGTATGAATAAAGTGCTGTGCGCCGAGCGCATGGTCTTGCTTAGCGCGACGACACTAGCAGCCGCTCGTCGAGTGGACCTAAATACTTGAGGTACGCGCATGAAATTTCCGAAGTATTTTCAGTAACACTCCTCGCTTTTCATTATTACTTTCTCTTCGTATAGACACCATTGTTCTATTGTCGGTTCGTGACTGGAAAAGCTTAGCAAGGAAGCTCAGGAAAGGTAGTGTGGTAGCCTGTGTGTTTTAACCTTGTCCTCCACTTTTGTTGTCAAGAATAGCATTGGGACTCTCAGAGCAAATTTTTTATTAAATTCAATAAGCATCCCACCACTATGGAATGGGTTTAGATACCTTGTGCAATTTATCCCCCCC